CAGCAGTATATATAATCAAGCATTTAAGTAAACAATTTAATTAATTGGAATAAATTGCCTAATCTTTGCACAAAAGCTACAAGCTTTTGTCAGCTCACAAATGGATTAGATATTAACTGCCTTTTACTTTGCATGTGTATATATATATATACATATATACATATATATATACATACGCACACACATGCATGATGACGCAATTTAGCACATATCTTGAAAAATCAAAATCTTTATTCTTTTACGCATATCAAATCATCCTTTTTTAGACAAGATGTTTTCTAATTATATATGAATACAGTAAGATGCATTTTGAAGTACGACGTTGTTTTAAGCAAGCAAGTGGCAGCATCATACATAAAAAAGCATCTTGCAGCCAGAAGAGCTTATGCAGAAAAGGGGCAGAGTTATAGTACTTTCAGTGGAAGAAGGTTGGGAGTGGGAAAGTTTGACTTTAGGTTTGGTTTACAATTAATTTGATTGGACAAGAGGCATCTGCATTAAAACGAATTAAAACGTTACGTAAGATAGAAAAATATGGAACCTGTGAGAAGAGAAAAATTTAGGGGCAGATCACCAAATTTAGAATGTTAATTTTGAGGTCGCTTTTTTTTTTTTTTTTTTTTTAAACAGCTATCATATTTTGCTATATCTTACATATCCCGCTTTCAAAAGAAGGCTGGGTGAGCAGGGTGGCAGAAAAAGCATTAAAGCAGCAAAAATGTGAAAGATATAATTTCGAAAATACAAAAATATTAACAAACCTATTTAACTATTAAACAAAAAAATTATTGTCATAAAATTTTGACCGATATTTTGACTCAATTTGACATTTCACTGAAGTCATAAAATTTTGAATTGAATTATTCATTTTAGCACTGTACTCTTTTAAAACAAAAGCATATTTTAGAGTTCTGAGGTAAGAATGTCCAATGAAATTTTTGTAAAGTTCTTGATAGTTCCACATGGTAAAAGTTCAAATTTTTTCACTAAGTAAATGTTCAAATACAAGTCAGTTTTTGTTGATGAAAAATATTTCTATTATAATACAAATTAAGATGCCAACTTTCATGTTATGTGTTAGAATTTCCATAATTATGTTTTTGAAAGAAGGCATTTTAAAATATAAAAATTTTGTAACACATCATTCATAAACACAACAAATTTCAAACTTTTCACTATTTTTACGACATTTAAAATTTACTTATTCTTTACAAAACTTTAAGAAGACTCCACAACTTTCTCTAAATACTAGCATTTCCATCTTATTGGTTTATCAGTTGAGCAAACTGGTGTTTATTCTTCACCAGTGACCAAAATATTTGCCAATTAGCAGTTACTATAGAAAAGATCTCCGTTCCTTCGATAGAGGCAACTGGCCTTTTTCAAACTGCTGTCAAAAATTAAAAGCACACTCTTATTTTATGAAAAAATAAAAATGCTTATATAAAAAATGTATTTTTTCATAAGGTGAGAGCCTTCAACGTTTATCTTGAAAACATTAAAGAAATTCCTAGAATTTAAAATTTTCAAACAATAATTTCATTCTTAAAATATAGTAAAAATATAAATTCAAAGAAATTTAAACTATAGTACAAATATTATTCGCATTAGGAATATTCCCTAAGTAAATCATTCAAATTCCTTACCTAATTTTTACCAAATAATTTCTTTTTCCCTATTCAGAAATATAAAACTACATTTTAAATAAATCTTAATATTTTTTAATTATTAATTTTGATTTTAAAATGATTTAAGCAAAACATCGTCATCAATAAATCGTAAAACAACGCAATTACTTATAAATGCAAAATTACTTATAATACAAAGTTAATTAAAAACGCAAGTTACTCCATTTGGAACTTCATACCACTTCAATATCACATTAATAATTTTTGATACTTCATACCACTTCAATATCACATTAATAACTTTTGCTAATATTCCATTTTTTTAATAAGAGCACTGAAAAACGCAAAATGTGCACAAAGCACTATTTCACTCATGAGGTTGCTGACCTTCAAAGCACATTGGATGTTTTTCTTTTTACGCGATGATCGGAAATGCATTACGAATATTCGAAGCGAGCGAGAACCAGTAACCATATTTCACTATGTTGGCGGCACTGACCTTGATTCGAAATGCTTTTCGATTTTGAACTTACTGATACTCGATGATTTCAAAGCACTTTTAGAATATACCTTTAAATCACACACCAGAAATGAATTTGATGATTCACTGGAAGTTTGAGGCAGCAGAGTTCGAAGACCATTGGACCTGTCTTGACTTTTTATAAATATGTAATGATTAACATGCATAGATGAAAAGAGTGGAACTTTTAACAGCTTACGATAGTGCACAGATGACGGAGAAGACCGTAGTCAGTTGAAGTTGGCAGAGTGGAAAGCACGATGACGCAATTTAGCACAACGTATCTTGAAAAATCACAATCTTTATTTTTTTACACATATCAAATCATCCTTTTTCAGACAAGATGTTTTCTAATTATATTTGAATACATTCAGTTCAGAGTTTGGTTTACAATTAATTTGATTGGACAAGAGGCATCTGCATTAAAACGTTACCTAAGATAGAAAAATCTGGAACCTATGACAAGAGAAAAATTTAGGGGCAGGTCACGAAATTTAGAATGTTATTTTTCAGGTCGCCTATTATTTTTTGAAACAGTTATCATATTTCGTTATATCTTATATACATATATATGTGTGTGTATATATAGTATAATTTTTATAATTTTTGTTCAAATTTTTATATTTTGGACTGAATTTAATATCATTAGATTTTTAAGCTTTTAATGATTTTGTTGCTATAAAAGATTCCTTTAAAAGCTTTTAACCCAACCTGTTTGGGTTCAAAATTAACACATATTTCAATTTTTTCATGTATTGGATTGCTTATATTTGCATGTTTAATTTTGATTTGTTTTCTGGATCCAGTCTGTTCAAAATAAAATTATTTAGAAAATTCATTTATGTTTTTGATCCTATAATTTTGCAATTTTCAGTTTTGTAAATGCAGTAAGTAGTAAATGGGTGTACAAACCAAATACAGCATGTTTCATATTGAATGAGACAAAAAGAATAGCATGGTACAAATTCTGTAATTGATTTATTAAGGCAAAACAAATTAATTCTGAAACTAAAATTATACAAGTGTTAGATGGCAAAAAATCTTCTAATTTCAAAATCGCTGATAGAGACACTGTTAATCAAAACAGTACCATTCATTCATGTAAAAGAAACCATACTGTGCTTTGGAATGCACTAAAATATCCTTGTTTATCATCATTAAAAAACATTTTCCCATGAAATTTGGTAACGAATCACTGCATCATCATAACATCGAATGTTGGACTAAGCAGCTTCAGGACAGGTTGCTTGTGTAAGAAAGTCAGCCCAGGACAAACAGCAGCCAAAACTTGGTTGAAAAAATTTGTGAAATATCTTCATGAAGTTCCACAAATTAAATGCATCATACAGATTCTGAACTCAATATGCCTCATGTAATGAATGGTGTGTGGTGTCTTAACGGAAACTTCTATAATTCCAGCCATATACCTTGCAGATGGTGTAGGTGTTTAAACCGTACAAAACATTAAGAATGCCATTTTATAATTTTATAGTAGCGCATATCAAAATGTGGTGACATTTTCAATAAAATATAATATCTTGTCTCTATTTTTTCCCCTTAAACATAATGTGTAAAAAAAAAAAAAAAAAGGGAAGAAGAAGAAGAATTACACATTTGTTAAAATTTATCATTAAATAATGTTAATTTTTATAATATTTTACAATTGCTATAATTAGCAGAACTCCTATGAACTCCTTTTAGTAATGTTTATTCTTTAATTCATCAATTAAGCATGCATCTCCTGCATTTCAAAACAAAGGATTAATATATATATATATATATATATATATATATATATATATATATATATATATATATATATATATATAATAAAACATGTTTTGTCTCAAAACTTCATTCTTCAAGTTGTGCCAATACAATAATATGATTTCCTACTATTATTTTTTGTTACTACCATTATCTTTATACCATTTATAGCATTGCTACCATTTAAAGCTACCATTTTTATTGCTTTTGCCCATGAATAATATGTTCTCCTACTGTTACATTCTGCACAGCAAATTTTTACATAAATATAAGATTAAAAAAATTAATTTATTCTAATTAAGTTTTAATACATTTTATGCATATGCAATAATTTCTGTCTTCCTTTATTAAACATATTTACATACATATAAATCCTAAATAATATCTCTAATTTGAATTTTTGATTATTAAGATTTTTTTTCTGCTTCACTTTTGATTTATTGAAGTTTGAATGGCAATACAAATTGTAAATATTAGAAAAGCAAAAAGAGATTTGAAGCTGAAGTTCCCTTTTAGAATCTAATAACATAAAATAGTCATTTTTAAATAAGAATAGTTTTGAATAAAACTGCATTCCAAATAACCAGGGCATAATTCTTTATTACAATGTTCCCACACTCATTGCAATAATGAATATTTTAATTTCATATGCATTTTGTTAACATGGTCACATAATATACCTTCAATTAATTATAAAGAATATTATCTCGTTCAAGTAATATTCTTTAATATTTTCAAATAATATTTTTTAACATTAATTATAAAATAACATAACTTCATTTTAATGTACAAATTACCTTGATCAAACTTTTTGAAAGGTATGGGATTAAAAAAAAGTTTTTGTTGTTGTTTCAATAGGAATTCAAAAGCACTGTATGGAAAAATATTAATTATGACAGAAACTTTTATTGGAAGTTTCAGCTTTGTAGTCTGGCTCTATTTTCCTTTTTCTAAACTTAACAGACAGAATATTTTTAAGTACTTAGTAAAAGTAAAACATAGTATGTGAAGAAAAGCCACCAGTGACAGGACCAAAAATCAATGTTTGGAACAAAGTCAAAATACATATAGAGAGAATTACTTACCAGACATGCAAGAAGATGTTTAAAACCTTTCAAATGTGGCATTAAAGTTTGAATACTTAATTGTGCATCACACAAATTACACTTATACGATGGTGGCCCATTCTGCATTCTAGTTTCAGTGACGTATGACACTCCTGGCATTGGGGGGAAAGATGTAAATTTAGTAACACTTTATCCAATTACTAAAAACAAAGGGAGGTAAACACAGTGCATATTAAGAATGAAACATATGCTACTAAAACAACATTTTTTAAAGAAACTCATTCATAATGCTATTATACTCCAAAATAACATTTCTTTTAGGAGTGACATTTCTGTTTCGGATGCAAAGCAAAACAAAGGCTAATGAACTCAAATTAAATAAAGCTTTTAACAGCAGCTTTATTTAATTTGAGTTCATTAGTCATTCAAATGACATTGAATGCCTTTTAGTCTAATGTGTTTTCAATCCCAGTGATACCAAATCTCATTCCTGTTTTGTTACAATTGTTATAAAAGTATCACTGAATTTTTAAAAAAAATTAGTTTAATGATTTTCATTTTTGTTTGATCTGTTCTACATCTTATTTCCAGCTGCCCAGATGGTATAGTGGTTAGGGTAGCCTGACTAAGCAAAAACATGAGAATGGCTAAATACATTGATGTCATTGTAATTTATATAAATATTTGAGCTTATTACCTTGTATTTATATAGTTGTGCATTGCATGTATTTAATTATTATTTATTCACCATATTATTAAACAATTCTGTTTCTGTTTATTGTGTATTTTGTGAAATCAATACTTGTCATTATTTATAGGGTTTGTAATGTATTTAATCTAAGGAATATCTTGCATAGCTTTCAACTTCACACTCTGAGAACTTGAGATATAAGCTGAAAGCACTCTACTGGTTCTTAACGAGTTTCCATATCCTAGCATGGATTTTTCTATAGTTTCATTATTATTTCCATTCTTGGGGAATAGATAGATAGATGAGTGTTAGAAGCCATTACATTGAAAAATTCAAAACTTTTATTTTAGATAGACCAAGATGTTATTAAGTTTATTACTCAGATATTTAATCTTTACTTTGTTAGTGAATTTGAAATATGCAGCATTGGCCTTCTGTTAAGTAACACTGCAGCTCATTTAAGTCTCTTTTTTGCTATTTTTAGTTGTTTTTCAAATCTGGGAAAAAAGTGCTTTTATTCCAAAATGAAATAAAGTTTCTAGTTTTCTCCTTCAAATGGCATGCTCGAAGATCCTGATGAAATGCAACACTATAATGATAGTAGAAATTTTTTTTCTTTTGGCAATAAAAACTAAACGATATGACACAAGCACACATATACTTACATACATACACAAAAATACACACAAAAAAGAAGAGAGAGAGGAAAGAAAAAGAAAGGAGATCAACATCACACATTAAATGCAATACATAAAATATAAAATACATACATGAGCAATACTAAAGTAAAAATCTGATAAGCATTAAAGACACAGGGAAACTGTACAGCTGTTGGCAACACTTTTCTGTTTGTTGCTTAATCCACTCCCAAACAAGCCTGTATTCATGCATATTGTTGGGATGCTCAAGTTTTGGCTTGGCAGCCACTTGTAATGATGTTCCCATTTGGCACTACTGCCTGGCACGAAGTTCTCATAGTTATTCACTTTCTTCAAATGACATTCAGGGACTGAAAGAAGGGTATGGAGAGTGATGCATGGATGTCAAAATATCAACAAGTGGTGTCAAGAGTTTGCTGCTAGTTGTACTGAAATTCACAATGAGGAAAACAGCAGGAGAATGCAAATTTTTGATGAGACAGTTATGAAGATTGAGCATACCACATATAAAAATTAGTGGATCACTCTGGAAGACTCCTGCATTCTGGTTCCTGAAATTTCCCAAAGCACCATTCATTAGGTTCAAAGCTTCCTCGGTGGCATGCTGACAAGCTGTGGAAACCCTGAGTCAAGTCAGCCTACTACTGCTGACCTGGTGTGAACCCCAAGGTACCAAGTTGGACAGTACTCTGTGGCCAAAATGGCAAATACCTAGCATGAATACAAATGAAATGGATTCAAAGGATTGGCCATAACTTTAAGAATTCCAAATATCAAGATCAAAGGTGCATAAATTCAATAAAATGCCAATAATGTTACAAAATCTGATTCTAATCATTCAAGCTTTCTGAAAATCTGTCCTCCATGACAGATGGAAATTGATGAGCAAAGGAAAAGAGTTAATTATGTGTAATAATTCCACTTATAATTCGATAAGAGCTATTCAAATAAACTTAGCTCACTCTCAAGCTGCTACAGTGCAGCTGAAAATTGAATTTTGGCGTTTGTCCAAGAGCCATTTTGTATTGATGAGAAACCTTCAGGATTTCTTATTCATTGTAAACTTATTTACCATGCAGACTCAGAGCATCGAGTTGTTATAATAGTTCAAAACTCAAATCTAAATTTAATAAATAGTTATGCCACAAGAAATGAAACTGTGGCATACATGGAACTGAAGCAGAAATGATTTAAAATTATGAAATGCTATAGTCCTCTGGTTGTGGACTGACTGAACTGACAGAATTGTTGAGGAAACTTGAAGGTTTCCTCCATAATAACAATGAAATACTTTTGCTATGTGATTTTAATGCAAAGAGTCAAATGTGGAGTTCACCATTTGAAAACTTGTGTTACCTGCTACAAGAGTTCATAATTCCTAATAGTCTATACGTGGAAAATTATTCAGCTAGTTTTCCGACTTATTGTTGTAGTCAGGAGTTTAGTTTGATTGATGTTATTTTCACATGCTCCCCTTCAAAACTTTATTTATAAAGGATTGGATGGTTCTGGATTGTGAAACATGTAGTGATCATTGCTATATCACTTTTGAAATAAGCCCAAAAAAAGTTACCCCTAAGTACAATTTAAATAAAATGGATTAGCTCAATTTAAAGGAAATGTTCGAGAAGTTCTTTTCAGACACAAATTCCACAACATTAAAATCATTTTCCAAGAGATTCATCTCAAGAAGACTCAGAATTTCATAAAAAAAATTATATTAGAAAAACATATGTAGCCTTAGATGACATCCTTTTTACAGAGCAAGAAGTACAATAAACAATTAAATAATTAAGCCCAAAGAAGGCACCAGGTATTGAAAAGTTGCCAAGACAAATTGTTCTTGCAGTATTTTATGTCAAACCTGAACTTATGATGATACTATTTTATGAACTTTTTCTCCCGCAACCTTTTCTCACCTGCGACGCACAAAAAATCTTTCTGGAATTTCGTGGCACACCAAAAGCAAATGTATATATGTATTGATTTATACACAAAATTTACAATAAATTTTCGTTTTTTTAATTTGAAAAATATACAATTATAAAAACCATTAACATATTTATTTATATGCAAGCATAATAATTATCAATGTGATACCTGCGCTTAAAAAAAGTTATATATTTTTTAGCTCCGAGTTATCAAGGAAGTGTCGAAAAAATTCAAATGCTGACACACTTACAATCACACACACAACCACACAACAGTGAAATATATAAAAACATTTAAAATAGACATTATTAATAAAAAAAATTGTCATTGTGTATTAAATACATGATAAAAAATTGCAAAATGTCAAATACATGTATTTGATTGCGGCAAACCTATATCCTACTCATTGCACACCGGTTGCGGAGCACTGTCCTAAGTACATGGAGCCTCCAACAGAAAGCTTGTAATTACAAGGTTAAGTTATTTATTACATTCAAATGATAAATTTAGCCATATACGATATAGATTTATTTCAGAAGTCCGCATGTTCCCATTTTAATTTTTAATATATGCACTGAGATAATATAGCAATTTAAAAAAAAACTGGAAAAAATATTTAAAGAAGTAAGTTTTCCATTTGTATGAAATACAATTTATGCTAAAAATGATTATTGATACTTTCCAAAATAATAATTATAAGGATACACATAAAACAGAAAATAAGAACAATTTATGTAAAAAAAAGTTTCTTTCAAATACCTGGGCATGGATACTCTTGATCATCAATAACATTCTGAACAACAGATCTTTCATTCACAGGATAACGCTGTGCTTGACCAGACGCTAAAGAAAAATATGCTTAGATTATTTCCCGAAAGGAAAAACTAAATCAAATAATTAAATCTTCTTTACAGTGCAACAACAATTTTGGTATTTAAAGCAAAATTTTGGTAGTTTGGTGAAAAGTATTTTTAATTGCCACTCTGCAGAATATTGTTAAAAAAATAACACTATCATATACTTTTTGCAAAAAGCAATTGAGCTTCATTTATTATCCTGTCTTAATACGCATTTCACAACCAATTAAGTATTCTGCAATGATCCACACAAACAAAACTAAACCTGATAAAAACTAAGGTACCTGCAATTTATCGTTTAAAATCTAGCACACAGTCAGCAAACACAAATCTCCCTTTTTGTGCCTTCAATTTACTCAGCTTCACATGACTCTTCACTACCCACTAACTTCCACAAGGAGTCCAAACAATGTAATAAAGCTTAAATTATTATATCAGGGTTCGTACACATTTCTGCATATGGAAATTAAGGACTTTTAAGGACCATTAATGAAAAAAAATTAAGGACCTATGAGCGAATGGGAACTGAATAAATCCAATTAAAATATTATCTATGCCTGAACTTTTGTAATACCATCCTAAAAATAAAATAGATCCGTAAGTAGAATGCGTTATTATTAAACATGACTTAGCTAACATAATTATTATTAAGACTGAGAATAAAATATATATGAAATTTATCAAGGAGCATTATATATTTTACACTTATAAGAACTGAACATATTTGAAAGGAGATAAGTGACATTTTATTTACATTTTACTAACAGTTATATGTTGATTTTATTTTATATCTCATTTTGCATATATTTGCTCTGTCTAGAGCTTTAGTAAATAGGCCATGGTCACTATTAAATTTTATTTACTACATGGCACAGTGGCCATGTAATAAATAAAATTTAATAGTGACCATATTTGGTAAAAAATACCCTATTAAAATCCTAATCTAATAAAATTTCACACAATAAATACATGTAATTTATGACATTGATTCTTAAACGATATTCGGATAATTGCACATTAAAAGCTACAAAACATTTATGTTTTGTAGATATATAAACAAAATATTTATGTGTATTTTTAATTTGAAGACTTCCAGACATTTTGGCTAATTTATATCGATTTCCTTCTCTTTAAGCACCTTTTCTAACAATTAGAAATTTGTCTCAATAGACAAGAGAATGTTCTCACTTGTTTCTGCGTGCTTTATATCCAAACTTGTCAACCTGTCCACTATGTACCTATGAGGGTTCATTTGATCTGGAAAAAGTTAAATAGAGTCAAAAGTCGTTAATCCAGACAAAAATAATCTGGAATGATCTATAATTCGGACCTCAAAACTACAAACTTTCTGCGCATGCGTTGTGCATCTGTGCATGCGCATAATACGTTTACACATGCGTGTTTAATGTATAATAGAAGGTATAAGCTAAGCTAAAATTATCTAATTATCTATTTCAGTTAATGTTGCAGATTGCGTTGTTCTTTAATCTTCAAATTGGATCCGGCTTATTATTTGCAGACTGTTACACCAATTTTATAAAAGTAAGCTTGAACTTTCGATTATGTCAAATATAATTTCCGATATATATTTACTAATATGTAAAGGATCTACAAAGCGAAAGTATGTTTCGAAGTCCATTAAACAAAAAGTGGAATTGCTGCAAAAAATGGATAAAAGCATATCCTTCGTTTTTCTAACCATTCCGAAATCTATTTATCAATTTCACGCTGCTCTGTGGCGGGAGAGGGGGGGAGGAACGCCGCGGCGCGCAATGAATTGGAAGTTGATCTGTCAGCACTATCCTTATCTTCAGGGCAGATGTTTTTATTATCTTTGGCTTATAATTCCTTACTAAATGTAGTATTTCATCTCGATGTACTCCGTCTTTGATATGATTTAAATGAAATTCCTCGTCATTATAATTCGCTTCCGATAGTGAAGAAAGTGACACAGAGGTTATTGAAAACGAAAAAATTTCGATTGACAAATTAGTCGGTATTCTCGACACAGCAAATTATAGGACTTGAACAAAGTGGAACTTTGTAACTGAAGAAGAAATTATGTTCTGTTTATAGAATTAAAGGAGAAGTATTATCACATAAAACGAAGCAACCTTAAACAACTTACATTGAAAGAAATGTTTAGTAATAAGTAAACAAATAAATATTAAGCTTTTTTTTTTTTTTTTTTTTTTTGTAAATTTTGATACCTTTTAGATCAGAATTGTTCTTTTATTTCATAAATTACGGTTTCATATTTTTAAATTTATAATTTCTGCATGCCATCTTACCAGATTTAAAGTGATGATCTATAATACAGAAAAATCGATAATCCGGAATCGCCGAAGTCCCGACGAGTCCGGATTAAAGATTTTTGACTGTAGTCCAAAACACATCAACAGATGTGAAGGAAATTATCACTATGTCTGAACAATGACCGACAAAGGTTCAAATAAGATTCTTATTTAAAAAGAACGTAAAAAACAAAGGCATGTTCTTATGCTAACAAAATCAATTACAGCTCGTAGTGATGTAATGAAACAAGAAGAGTCAAATTCAAACTAAAAATATGGATTAGTGGTCAAAGACTTTATAATTTAATTTCACTTTAGGCTGACTCAATAACTCTATCATCGTAACAAACTCAAATGTCGGCAACGGTAATCCAAGATGAATAATTACAAATTATCAGAGCTGGCAGGAACTAATACAGGGAGCAAGTGGAGATCAGAAACACACTCTTGTCTTACACTCCAAAAATCTTGGTTTAAAAACTGTTTAAGTGGTTTGCATTCTGGTGAGAAAATAGAAATGGGAAATTATAGTAAGGGCTGAAATTATAAACAATTGAATAATTTACATATTAATAACTGTACATATCTTTGAAGAACAATTTTGTTTTTCTTTATGTATTCAGTTTCTTTCTTCCATGTTTCCTTTTCATTTTAGAATTTTTGGATCTAATTAAAGATTTCTGATATTCTAAATAAACTAAATGCATTTAGAATATAAAGAAAAAGCTGCTAATTTTATTTCTTTAGTAATATGAACATTCAGAAGAAATATGAGATATATATGGTAAGCTTCGGTTAGAGAGCTGATGTGGTATAATTTCTAGAATATAGTGATACACTGAGCAATAAATTCTAGAAATGGCAAAACTTTTAGAATTTAGAACAAGCATTGGAAGCAAAATTTAGAAAGGCACCAGGCAGCAGAATTTAAGATCTACAGAGACTGCATTAGATGGGAAAATACCTAGTGCCAGCCCTGTGCATGATACATTAAGACATATTAGATGACTCTTTTATATTGTCAGTTTTCAATCTTTATTAATAAAAGCATTCTGTTCTATAATACCTTTCCATATGATAAGATTAGAAGCACTTTTGATATTTTCCATGTTTGTGTCTAGTGAAAAGTAGAGAAAATAAAGGGGAAATTAAAATATTAAGAAAAAGATTCTCGTATAAGAAGTAAAGCATTCAACTACAGTCAAAAGTCGTTAATCCGGACCCGTCGGGACTTCGGCGATTCCAGATTATAGATCATCAGTTTAAATCTCGTAGGATGGCATGCAGAAATTCTAAAATTAAAAATATGAAACCGTAATTTATGAAATAAAGAACAATTATGATCTAAAGGGTATCAAAATTTGCAAAAAGAAAAAGCTTAATATTTATTTGTTTACTTAAATAAACATTTCTTTCAATGTAAGTTGTTTAAGTTTTGCTTCGTTTTATGTGATAATACTTTCTCTTTAATTCTATTAAACAGACATAATTTCTTGTTCAGTTACAAAGTTCCGCTGTTCAAGTCCTATAATTGCTGTGTCAAGAACACGGACTAATTTGTCAATCGAAATTTTTTCGTTTTCAATAACCTCTGTTACTTTTCTTCGCTATCGGAAGCGAATTATAATGACGAGGAACTTGTTTTAAATCATATCAAAGACGGAGCATATCGAAATGAAATACTACATTTGGTAAGGAATTATAAGCCAAATAAAATAAAAACATCTGCCCTGAAGATAAGGATAGTGCTGACAGATAACTTCCAATTCATTACGCGCCCGCCGCGTGGCGTTCCTCCCGCCGAGCAGCGTGAAATTGATAAACAGATTTCGGATTTCAGCTAGCAGAAATATTACTTTACTTTCGCTTTAGATCCTTTACATATTAACAAATATATATCGGAAATTCTATTTGATATAATCGAAAGTTTAAGCTTACTTTTATAAAATTGCTCTTACAGTCTGCAAAAAATAATAAGCCGGATCCAATTCGAAAATTAAGGAACAACGCAATCATCAACATTAACTGAAATAGATAATTAGATAATTTTAGCTTATACGTCCATTATACATAAAACGCACACGCGAAAACGTATTCTGCACACTCATATGCGCAGTCGTAAAAGGTCTTACGCGTGCGTATGCGCCTATGCGTATGTGTCAACGCGGCGCATGCGCAGAAAGTTTTTAGTTTTGAGGTCCGAATTATAGATCATTCCGAATTAATGACTTTTGACTGTATAATGTTTTCATTGTTCTTCCAGACATTCTCCAAAAAGTAAGAAATTACGTATTAATAGTATGGAGACAATTTTCATTTTGTCGCATTTTTCTGGAATCTTCTTCTTCATGGGTATATAAATCTTGCCTTCATACCTTTCTAAACTTTTCAAGCTGCAATGTCTAAAATCCTAAAAAAAAGTTACCCCTATCAATTCTGTAACAGCATTCAGACAGAAATATTTTGAAAAAAAATTGGAGGATAAAAATGTAAAATTAATTTTATAGAGAAAAACAGGGCTTAATTTCTAAAATTAAGATGTGCTTAAGCCCTGCGAAACACTGTCAGGAAAGAGGTAGAAAAAAAATAAATAAATAAAAATGGCTAATAAAATCACTAATAATTAAAAAATTAAATATTAATTATTAAAATAGTTCAATAATTGATACTAAAATAAATTAAATAGTTTAAA